CAATTTGAACAATGTAAATTGCAGTGCGGATATCGTATATAATTTTACAACCAGAAAGCTAGAGATGTGCTAATATGCAGCCTCAGTTTGCATTTCTTTTGTTAAATTTTGCAGAAATCAATGTTTCTGTAGTTTTAAGCTTTTGTGTTGAACTACAGCTGACTTCCTTACTTTCTGAGACTGGGTTGGACATTCTAGAAGCACATGCTTTTTCGACAACAGACGGCTATTCGTTGGATGTTTTTGTTGTTGGTGGTTGGCCAATAGAGGTATTTCCCCATTATTTTGCAGATTGAAGTACAATAGTTCATTGAATTTTATGTATAGGAAAATCAACAAGTGTCCATTTTTGAAATTTATAGGAGACGAAGAAATTAAAACATGAACTAGCAAAGAAAATTCAGAAACTCCAGGTAGATCCTCTATATGTCACTGATGGTTGCATATTTACTTTATATGTATGAAAAAAAAAAATCCTTTTGCTTTTTAAGAAAAATGATCAGTTGTGCCCAAAATTTCATATATAGTTTAAGGTAACAGTTTTACTGCCAGTCACAATATTCAATTTCCATAGTTAATGACAAAAGATGTTCACTTTGAATAGAAGTTAACTGGTTGAACTGAGAAATATGCATACACAAGCGGTAGAACTTTTACTGTTCTTGACCAATATTTAGCTTAACAAAATAAGTTTCGCTTGCATTTCCACTTATATAATAGAGAACCATTTATAAGTTATTATTTTTGGTGGAAAAATTCCGGAAGCAACATCAATTGAAAGAAAATGGGAGTCTTCCTACTAGTACTACTGCAAAGCAAGAGCAAACCGGGATGAACTTTATCTGGAGAATTGATGCCGGGCGTCTGAGATATGAAAAGAAAATTGCATCTGGACCTTTGACTGATTTGTCAGTATTATCAATCCTTCTTCTTAATTTGTTTGTGGATCAGTACATTCGAGTAACCGATTAGTTGAAACAGGTATAAAGGTACATTCTGCAATCAAGATGTAGCTATCAAGGTTTTAAAGCACGAGAATTTGAATGAAAATATACAAAGGGAGTTTGCTCAGGAAGTGTATATCCTAAGGTTCGCTTTATCAACAACTTCCACTCATCTCCCCTGCCACCGAGCCTTTCTTCGAGTTTCACTGATATTTCATGAAGATTGTTGTTAATACATGGCTTTTATAAATTCAATTCTTGCAGTAAAATTCAGCACAAAAATGTAGTTAAATTTGTTGGCGCTTGTACAAAACCCCCAAACCTGTACCTGGTCACAGGTAAAACTGGTTCTTGTTACTTCTCTTATTGATTAAGGGGTCAATGTAATGGGAAAAAGATACTGTCAATTTCAATGCACTTTTTTTTTTCACAGAATACATGCCTGGTGGAAGTATGTTCGACTTTTTGCATAAACAGAAGACCGCCCTTGCTCTTCCATGTTTACTCAAAGTGGCCATTGATGTTTCCGAAGGAATGAAATATTTGCATCAGAATAATATCATACATCGTGACCTTAAAGCGGCTAATCTTTTGATAGATGAGAATGGGGTTAGTTTACACTATAACGTCTTCTTCTGACTCTATCGGCTTGGCTTATTACTTCTTTGTAAATGCTCTCAACTTGTTGTGGGGTAATTACAGTTGTGTTTTCATCATTTTTCTATGCTACATGTGTTTTATCACTTTACAAAGTTGAGCTATACTTGATCTTATGGCTTGGTGGAATTTATGCTGTTGTGTTTTATTTTTAAAATCTTTTCCGACAGGTAGTTAAGGTTGCTGATTTTGGTGTGGCTAGAGTGCACAATCAGTCTGGCATAATGACTGCAGAAACAGGAACTTATCGGTGGATGGCTCCAGAGGTCTGTGTATATCTATGAGTATTGGCATATAGGGTTGATCACTTTAAATTTATTAAATGTATAACTTACAGGCATGGATGGGGCTGTTTAAGGACACGATAGGCAGCAGTTTTTGATGTAATAAGATGAATCTAGACAGGTTGGAATGAGAATGATGATTTTTTTTTTTTTTTCTGATAAACAATACTTAATGCTAACATGGTTTCAGTACTGCTTTTGGTTGCCCATGCGCTTTGCAAAAGAAAAATGTAACAATATCCAATAAAATACAATGGTAGGCACTCTGGTTTTTTTCATGGAGGCTTTAGTTGCTTATGTAAAACAACTAAAAAAACTGATATTTCTTGTATTCTACTGCTTACTGTATTGATTATTATTAAACTTGTGATTCCCTTGACATATGGAAGGTTATTGAACATAGACCATATGATCACAAAGCCGATGTCTTTAGCTTTGCCATTGTGCTTTGGGAACTGCTCACAGGAAAGGTAGCACCTTTCCCTTTTACTTTCTCTTGTTTGATATTCATGGAACCAAAAACTAGTTTCCAAATGAAAACTGATTTACTCTCTCTACTCTGTAAACTATATTAACCTCTTCATATTGAAGAAGTACTGAGCAGAAATTCCTAGGTACTTTGATTCGTATAGGATTAATAGATAGTGTACAACATGGCATAGAGTAGAACAAAAGTGAGTAACAGTATTTAACAGAAATGGAGAACAAAGACTTAGTAGGTATACTTTAGACATTGTTTTATCAGTATTTTCGTTCAGTATTACTTTACTTGCTCAGACTTCACATCTTTCGCCTATGTTTTATGACTACACGACAGCTTCCTTATGAGCATTTGTCCCCATTGCAAGCAGCAGTAGGAGTGATCCAGAAGGTATTTCTCAACTATAAATTACATATGCAGTGTCAGTGGACACTAAACTGAAAAGCTCTATCTATAGTATCTTAAGCTACCAAGCCACAAAAATATGGTGAAATTGAGTAAGCTTTTTGTAAATGAATTGCAGGGTTTAAGGCCTAAAATTCCAAGCCATAGTCATTCAAAGTTGGTGGAATTGCTTCACTGGTGTTGGCACCACGATTCATCTTTGAGACCCAATTTCTCAGAAATTCTGGAATTTCTGCTACGTGTGACCAAGACGGTATGTGTAGGAGGATTCTTGACAAATTTTGTCTTATATTCAAAAGAAAAATCGAAGCCTCTACACCACTACTTTTTCTTGAACAGGTTACTGGGGAATGTGAAGGCTAGGGAATGCATGAAAATTATATTCACCAAACTCACTGTATGTACACATAGACATGTGTGATTTCTCAATTTAAAGTAAAGGTTCGTGATTGGATTATGAAGTTGATATTAGCCTTTTGGGTAGATGTATATAAACTTGGATTTATAAATGATAGGAAGAAAAACAAATAACATAATTGTATTGTGAAAGTGGTGTATGTTGCACTTATTCTAAGTTAATGGGAATTTTCTTTTATTGTTGCATGTTACAGTAAAAGAGTTTCATACTAAAAAAAATTATTTTAAAAATATATACCTAAATTATGTACGTCAAATAAGAGTATTCTTATTATATATTATTATTAATTATAAATTATTTATTTTAAAAGATAAAATGATAATATATATATATACACACACACACAACGTATATCTTGATTAATTTTTATAAATTTATTTAATAAGTAAATATTATTGTTTATCGAAATTTTGAGGGATAAAATTATAAGAAAATGTGCATATCATAAATCCTTTCGATTTTTTTTATTATTTTTTTTGTCAAATAAGAAATAATGATAATAATACACTAGTTAACAAAGTTTTTATTCTTGGTTAATATTTATTAAAACCTATAAAATCGTGATTAAAACTCAATGAATAAGTGGGATCTACAATTAGTAGTGTGTCTTTGAATACTTTTCCTTTATAAAAACATTATTATGAAAAATATACACCTTTAATTTCTTAAAAATATAAAGTACGTTGAATTTTCTATATTATAGAGAAGATTAAAAATGTGATTGAAGGAATTATTCTTTTATAAAACTCGACCCGCATCCTACAACAGTGATAAGTGATAACAAGGGCAATAAATGGTGGAGAACTAGATTCTTGTCAAAGTGTGATATTTAAAAACATATCTTTCATTTTTAATAGATTTTAATTAATCATTCTATTTAATTTTATTAAAAATGCAAATACTTTGGGTTGGTCCTTTTACATTTGCATGACATCCGTATTTTAGTTTTTGTATTTTTTTTAAGAAAGTACACTTAATTTTTAATTAGTACATAAATGAAAAAAAAAGTGATGTTTATAATAAGACTTTCTTTACTCAACATTGTTTTCTCTTGATATAACTACATTGATTTATTCTGTTGCTTATAATTTTTTCATCAATAGGTATGTCGATAAACTTGTCTTTGTCTAAAACTAATTTCCAATAAAGGAACATGCTCAAAAGAAAAAAGAGTCATATCTATTATAAAAAGTAAATAGTTTATAAGTATAAAGAATGTTTATATTATTTATAAACTTACAAATATGTTAAGTTTAATGATATTTATAATAAATATTTAAACATTTCTACATTTATTACAAAAAAAAACTAAACTCCATAATAAATCTGATCACAAATCATAACTTACTCTAAGTCACTTATTTTAATATATTATCACAAGATAAAGAACAAAAAGGATAATATAATTTTGCATGTTTATGCTATAGTTTAGTTAAAGTCAATTTTAAATATAAATGAATTATTTTTTTCATACAGAAAAAGGGTATTATTATTTTTTCATGATTAGTTTCTTCAATTTCAAAAAAATTAAACCCTTTTAGAAAATTTCAACAACTCATTCCCATTCTCTGATACATTTGAAAACCATGGTCGAAGCTAATGCACGTTTGACATTGATCCAGAGAAATAAGAATGAAAGAACATGCATCAGTAAAAGTGCATGAAATGAGCATTACCACAACTTAATGAATAATTCTGAAAACTTCGAAACATTTTATTCTTTTGAACCTTTAATACATGCTGCAAACGATTATTCGTCACTTCCTACGGATTCATATATTTTGGCATCTAAAGAGAGGTCATGTCTAAATATTCCCAATTCTTTCACCGTCTGCACACATACAGGATTAGAGAAAGAAAACAAACACAAGGCTGTATTCTGTGGCGTAAAAGAAAATCTAATGACCCAAAGAGAGGAAGTTGTGCTTGATTTTGAAGACAACAATGGCCGCAGCAACAGCAAAGATGAAAATTCAGCATCGAAAGGTGTTGTCAACGGTCAAAGTGACAAGCTTCGTCAAGACTTGCAGGAAAAGCGCAGAGGCAGTGAATCAACAAGAAAGAAAAAGCAGGATCAGCAAAAAACCGAAGAAAGCCACCTCCAAACTTCACATTCACAAGAAAGCGTGGTGAGGTCTTCTTCGAACAATTCAACTCCACGATTCTCGTGGAAATCATCAATAAGCAGAACAAAGTCTCGGCTGATAGACCCTCCTGAGGAATCATGCGCAAATTCAGAATCAAGTGAACAAAAAGCGGCAGAAAATGATGACAGTGTTGAGGACATGCCTGAAATTTACAAGAAAACGAGGTTCAGTGCGTTCTCGCTGCTTCAGTGGCTATGTCTGGCCTTAATAATCGTAGCCTTGCTTTCAAACATTTGGATATCGTGCTTGCAAAAACTCAAACTCTGTGGCTTTCCCCTGTGGGAATGGGAGACAATGATTTTGGTTATTCTTTGTGGGCGTTTGCTCTCAGGTTGGATAATCAAGCTAATCGTCTTCTTCGTGGAACGCAATTTCATACTGCGAAAACGAGTGCTGTATTTTGTGTACGGTTTGAAACACTCGGTGAAAAACTGTGTCTGGTTGGGTCTTGTTCTGCTGGTGTGGCATTTTCTTTTGGTCAACGCGGTGAAGAAAAAGGTCAACGACAGGATTTTGTCGTGTGTGACAAAGGTTGTGGTGTGTCTGTTCATCGGCACTCTTTTGTGGCTCCTTAAAACGATCCTCGTGAAGNCTTCGGTTCGTCATCTAATGTGGAACATAACACCCAGTTCTTACCAGTCCGAGACAGGGATAACTATTTGAATTTTTATACACATTATGCTCGGTAAATATACTGCTTATTTGTTTAAATTTCCTTTCTTTTTAAAACAATATATATAAGAGTTTCTTACTATCACTTCCCGTTCTCCTACTTACGGCAGGCCAATGCATGAAATCACAATTTCAACAAATGACAAGCCAAAACTTCTGAGTCAGGTAATTAGTTAATCTTCTTATTGTTGTGCAATTTTTTTCTAGCTAACGAGAAAAGCCTATGCTTTAAGCCCTTTAGCGTTTTCTACTTTTCAGAAATTCTTCTACAATATTTCCTATGTATTTTTTGTTTGCTTTAACAACCCTAATACTATAATAATGTTTGATTGGGAAAGGAATGACGGTACTAAATTTCGTTGACTCAATCCTAAGCATAATGCTAATGGGTCACAGTCTCTAGTTTTGGTTTTATTGATCTCATTGTTTTATACATCTATTGATAACAACATCAATAAAAGCTTTTTCCCACTACACTGATAGCTACAGAAAAGTATTGATCTTGCTGTATAATTAATGAGGACTGAACTTATGGATACCAGAATGCTGGTGTTATTAATCTAAGTGTCTGACTTGAGGCTGCTATAGCAATTTGAACAATGTAAATTGCAGTGCGGATATCGTATATAATTTTACAACCAGAAAGCTAGAGATGTGCTAATATGCAGCCTCAGTTTGCATTTCTTTTGTTAAATTTTGCAGAAATCAATGTTTCTGTAGTTTTAAGCTTTTGTGTTGAACTACAGCTGACTTCCTTACTTTCTGAGACTGGGTTGGACATTCTAGAAGCACATGCTTTTTCGACAACAGACGGCTATTCGTTGGATGTTTTTGTTGTTGGTGGTTGGCCAATAGAGGTATTTCCCCATTATTTTGCAGATTGAAGTACAATAGTTCATTGAATTTTATGTATAGGAAAATCAACAAGTGTCCATTTTTGAAATTTATAGGAGACGAAGAAATTAAAACATGAACTAGCAAAGAAAATTCAGAAACTCCAGGTAGATCCTCTATATGTCACTGATGGTTGCATATTTACTTTATATGTATGAAAAAAAAAAATCCTTTTGCTTTTTAAGAAAAATGATCAGTTGTGCCCAAAATTTCATATATAGTTTAAGGTAACAGTTTTACTGCCAGTCACAATATTCAATTTCCATAGTTAATGACAAAAGATGTTCACTTTGAATAGAAGTTAACTGGTTGAACTGAGAAATATGCATACACAAGCGGTAGAACTTTTACTGTTCTTGACCAATATTTAGCTTAACAAAATAAGTTTCGCTTGCATTTCCACTTATATAATAGAGAACCATTTATAAGTTATTATTTTTGGTGGAAAAATTCCGGAAGCAACATCAATTGAAAGAAAATGGGAGTCTTCCTACTAGTACTACTGCAAAGCAAGAGCAAACCGGGATGAACTTTATCTGGAGAATTGATGCCGGGCGTCTGAGATATGAAAAGAAAATTGCATCTGGACCTTTGACTGATTTGTCAGTATTATCAATCCTTCTTCTTAATTTGTTTGTGGATCAGTACATTCGAGTAACCGATTAGTTGAAACAGGTATAAAGGTACATTCTGCAATCAAGATGTAGCTATCAAGGTTTTAAAGCACGAGAATTTGAATGAAAATATACAAAGGGAGTTTGCTCAGGAAGTGTATATCCTAAGGTTCGCTTTATCAACAACTTCCACTCATCTCCCCTGCCACCGAGCCTTTCTTCGAGTTTCACTGATATTTCATGAAGATTGTTGTTAATACATGGCTTTTATAAATTCAATTCTTGCAGTAAAATTCAGCACAAAAATGTAGTTAAATTTGTTGGCGCTTGTACAAAACCCCCAAACCTGTACCTGGTCACAGGTAAAACTGGTTCTTGTTACTTCTCTTATTGATTAAGGGGTCAATGTAATGGGAAAAAGATACTGTCAATTTCAATGCACTTTTTTTTTTCACAGAATACATGCCTGGTGGAAGTATGTTCGACTTTTTGCATAAACAGAAGACCGCCCTTGCTCTTCCATGTTTACTCAAAGTGGCCATTGATGTTTCCGAAGGAATGAAATATTTGCATCAGAATAATATCATACATCGTGACCTTAAAGCGGCTAATCTTTTGATAGATGAGAATGGGGTTAGTTTACACTATAACGTCTTCTTCTGACTCTATCGGCTTGGCTTATTACTTCTTTGTAAATGCTCTCAACTTGTTGTGGGGTAATTACAGTTGTGTTTTCATCATTTTTCTATGCTACATGTGTTTTATCACTTTACAAAGTTGAGCTATACTTGATCTTATGGCTTGGTGGAATTTATGCTGTTGTGTTTTATTTTTAAAATCTTTTCCGACAGGTAGTTAAGGTTGCTGATTTTGGTGTGGCTAGAGTGCACAATCAGTCTGGCATAATGACTGCAGAAACAGGAACTTATCGGTGGATGGCTCCAGAGGTCTGTGTATATCTATGAGTATTGGCATATAGGGTTGATCACTTTAAATTTATTAAATGTATAACTTACAGGCATGGATGGGGCTGTTTAAGGACACGATAGGCAGCAGTTTTTGATGTAATAAGATGAATCTAGACAGGTTGGAATGAGAATGATGATTTTTTTTTTTTTTTCTGATAAACAATACTTAATGCTAACATGGTTTCAGTACTGCTTTTGGTTGCCCATGCGCTTTGCAAAAGAAAAATGTAACAATATCCAATAAAATACAATGGTAGGCACTCTGGTTTTTTTCATGGAGGCTTTAGTTGCTTATGTAAAACAACTAAAAAAACTGATATTTCTTGTATTCTACTGCTTACTGTATTGATTATTATTAAACTTGTGATTCCCTTGACATATGGAAGGTTATTGAACATAGACCATATGATCACAAAGCCGATGTCTTTAGCTTTGCCATTGTGCTTTGGGAACTGCTCACAGGAAAGGTAGCACCTTTCCCTTTTACTTTCTCTTGTTTGATATTCATGGAACCAAAAACTAGTTTCCAAATGAAAACTGATTTACTCTCTCTACTCTGTAAACTATATTAACCTCTTCATATTGAAGAAGTACTGAGCAGAAATTCCTAGGTACTTTGATTCGTATAGGATTAATAGATAGTGTACAACATGGCATAGAGTAGAACAAAAGTGAGTAACAGTATTTAACAGAAATGGAGAACAAAGACTTAGTAGGTATACTTTAGACATTGTTTTATCAGTATTTTCGTTCAGTATTACTTTACTTGCTCAGACTTCACATCTTTCGCCTATGTTTTATGACTACACGACAGCTTCCTTATGAGCATTTGTCCCCATTGCAAGCAGCAGTAGGAGTGATCCAGAAGGTATTTCTCAACTATAAATTACATATGCAGTGTCAGTGGACACTAAACTGAAAAGCTCTATCTATAGTATCTTAAGCTACCAAGCCACAAAAATATGGTGAAATTGAGTAAGCTTTTTGTAAATGAATTGCAGGGTTTAAGGCCTAAAATTCCAAGCCATAGTCATTCAAAGTTGGTGGAATTGCTTCACTGGTGTTGGCACCACGATTCATCTTTGAGACCCAATTTCTCAGAAATTCTGGAATTTCTGCTACGTGTGACCAAGACGGTATGTGTAGGAGGATTCTTGACAAATTTTGTCTTATATTCAAAAGAAAAATCGAAGCCTCTACACCACTACTTTTTCTTGAACAGGTTACTGGGGAATGTGAAGGCTAGGGAATGCATGAAAATTATATTCACCAAACTCACTGTATGTACACATAGACATGTGTGATTTCTCAATTTAAAGTAAAGGTTCGTGATTGGATTATGAAGTTGATATTAGCCTTTTGGGTAGATGTATATAAACTTGGATTTATAAATGATAGGAAGAAAAACAAATAACATAATTGTATTGTGAAAGTGGTGTATGTTGCACTTATTCTAAGTTAATGGGAATTTTCTTTTATTGTTGCATGTTACAGTAAAAGAGTTTCATACTAAAAAAAATTATTTTAAAAATATATACCTAAATTATGTACGTCAAATAAGAGTATTCTTATTATATATTATTATTAATTATAAATTATTTATTTTAAAAGATAAAATGATAATATATATATATACACACACACACACAACGTATATCTTGATTAATTTTTATAAATTTATTTAATAAGTAAATATTATTGTTTATCGAAATTTTGAGGGATAAAATTATAAGAAAATGTGCATATCATAAATCCTTTCGATTTTTTTTATTATTTTTTTTGTCAAATAAGAAATAATGATAATAATACACTAGTTAACAAAGTTTTTATTCTTGGTTAATATTTATTAAAACCTATAAAATCGTGATTAAAACTCAATGAATAAGTGGGATCTACAATTAGTAGTGTGTCTTTGAATACTTTTCCTTTATAAAAACATTATTATGAAAAATATACACCTTTAATTTCTTAAAAATATAAAGTACGTTGAATTTTCTATATTATAGAGAAGATTAAAAATGTGATTGAAGGAATTATTCTTTTATAAAACTCGACCCGCATCCTACAACAGTGATAAGTGATAACAAGGGCAATAAATGGTGGAGAACTAGATTCTTGTCAAAGTGTGATATTTAAAAACATATCTTTCATTTTTAATAGATTTTAATTAATCATTCTATTTAATTTTATTAAAAATGCAAATACTTTGGGTTGGTCCTTTTACATTTGCATGACATCCGTATTTTAGTTTTTGTATTTTTTTTAAGAAAGTACACTTAATTTTTAATTAGTACATAAATGAAAAAAAAAGTGATGTTTATAATAAGACTTTCTTTACTCAACATTGTTTTCTCTTGATATAACTACATTGATTTATTCTGTTGCTTATAATTTTTTCATCAATAGGTATGTCGATAAACTTGTCTTTGTCTAAAACTAATTTCCAATAAAGGAACATGCTCAAAAGAAAAAAGAGTCATATCTATTATAAAAAGTAAATAGTTTATAAGTATAAAGAATGTTTATATTATTTATAAACTTACAAATATGTTAAGTTTAATGATATTTATAATAAATATTTAAACATTTCTACATTTATTACAAAAAAAAACTAAACTCCATAATAAATCTGATCACAAATCATAACTTACTCTAAGTCACTTATTTTAATATATTATCACAAGATAAAGAACAAAAAGGATAATATAATTTTGCATGTTTATGCTATAGTTTAGTTAAAGTCAATTTTAAATATAAATGAATTATTTTTTTCATACAGAAAAAGGGTATTATTATTTTTTCATGATTAGTTTCTTCAATTTCAAAAAAATTAAACCCTTTTAGAAAATTTCAACAACTCATTCCCATTCTCTGATACATTTGAAAACCATGGTCGAAGCTAATGCACGTTTGACATTGATCCAGAGAAATAAGAATGAAAGAACATGCATCAGTAAAAGTGCATGAAATGAGCATTACCACAACTTAATGAATAATTCTGAAAACTTCGAAACAGTTTATTCTTTTGAACCTTTAATACATGCTGCAAACGATTATTCGTCACTTCCTACGGATTCATATATTTTGGCATCTAAAGAGAGGTCATGTCTAAATATTCCCAATTCTTTCACCGTCTGCACACATACAGGATTAGAGAAAGAAAACAAACACAAGGCTGTATTCTGTGGCGTAAAAGAAAATCTAATGACCCAAAGAGAGGAAGTTGTGCTTGATTTTGAAGACAACAATGGCCGCAGCAACAGCAAAGACGAAAATTCAGCATCGAAAGGTGTTGTCAACGGTCAAAGTGACAAGCTTCGTCAAGACTTGCAGGAAAAGCGCAGAGGCAGTGAATCAACAAGAAAGAAAAAGCAGGATCAGCAAAAAACCGAAGAAAGCCACCTCCAAACTTCACATTCACAAGAAAGCGTGGTGAGGTCTTCTTCGAACAATTCAACTCCACGATGCTCGTGGAAATCATCAATAAGCAGAACAAAGTCTCGGCTGATAGACCCTCCTGAGGAATCATGCGCAAATTCAGAATCAAGTGAACAAAAAGCGGCAGAAAATGATGACAGTGTTGAGGACATGCCTGAAATTTACAAGAAAACGAGGTTCAGTGCGTTCTCGCTGCTTCAGTGGCTATGTCTGGCCTTAATAATCGTAGCCTTGCTTTCAAACATTTGGATATCGTGCTTGCAAAAACTCAAACTCTGTGGCTTTCCCCTGTGGGAATGGGAGACAATGATTTTGGTTATTCTTTGTGGGCGTTTGCTCTCAGGTTGGATAATCAAGCTAATCGTCTTCTTCGTGGAACGCAATTTCATACTGCGAAAACGAGTGCTGTATTTTGTGTACGGTTTGAAACACTCGGTGAAAAACTGTGTCTGGTTGGGTCTTGTTCTGCTGGTGTGGCATTTTCTTTTGGTCAACGCGGTGAAGAAAAAGGTCAACTACAGGATTTTGTCGTGTGTGACAAAGGTTGTGGTGTGTCTGTTCATCGTCACTCTTTTGTGGCTCCTTAAAACGATCCTCGTGAAGGTCTTTGCCTTGCACTTCCACGTGAAAACGTTCTTCGAACGGATTCGGGAGGCTCTGTTCAGCCAATACGTGATCGAAACGCTGTCGTGTGATCGATTGAGGGAAGAGGAAGAAGAAGAAGGTGAAGATAGATCCGTTGGGAGGGTGTTGTGTAATAAGAAGAAGAAGCAAGATGATAAAATGTCGATCGAGCAGTTGCGTAGGTTGAATAAGAGAAATATATCAGCGTGGAATATGAAAAGAATGATCAACATCGTCATGCATGGGTCGTTTACTACATTGGACGAACGTATTTTGTGTTCAGATGTTGAGGATGAGCCTTTGCTGCAACTTCGAACCGAAAACCAAGCAAAGATCGCAGCTCAGAAAATTTTTCATAACGTTGCGCAACCAGGATCCCAGTAAGGCTTCTTAATTACGTGTATCATTCTTAGTTCTGAAGTTCATTATTGTTACTACCACACCTGAAAACGAAAACTCTGCAATCGCAACAGATGCATTTTCTTGCAAGATGTGATGCAGTTCATGCGAAGAGACGAGGCTTTGAAGTCAATGGATCTGTTGGGAGCAGCGTGTGCAGAACATGGAATTAGCATGTCTTCTCTTAGAGAGTGGATGGTATTGTGCTTGAATCTGTTAGATAAGTCCTCTAAAAGTCATTCTAATGGATGATTTGTATCTTGTTGAGACAAAAATGTTTTAGTGTCGGAGTCTCTGCTTATATCTGTGTGCAGGTGAATGCTTTCAGGGAGAGAAGGGCACTGGCACTATCACTGAAAGACACGAAAACTGCTGTGGATGATCTCCATAACATGTTGAACATGATTGTCGGCATTGTCATTTTGATTGTCTGGCTTGCCATACTAGGAACTCCAATCCTACACTTCCTTGTCTTCATGGGATCCCAGCTTCTGTTGGCAGTGTTTGTGTTCGGGAATTCTTGCAGAACTGTTTTTGAAGCAATCATCTTCTTATTTGTGATGCACCCATTTGATGTTGGCGATCGATGTGAAGTAGATGGAATCCAGGTTAAGGAAATTCCAAGTTTAATTTAGTTTCCAAACAACAAATGTATTGAGTTTTCTGATTCTCTTGTTTGGTTCTTAGATGGTAGTGGAAGAGATGAATATACTGACAACAGTGTTCCTGAAGTGCGATAACCAGAAGGTTACATACCCAAACAGTGTTCTGGCTACCAAACCGATCAGTAATTATCAACGTAGTCCAGACATGGGAGATGCAGTGGATTTCTGCATTCATGTGTCCACCCCATTAGATAAAGTTGCAACTATGAAAACAAGAATTATAGAGTACGTGAATTGCATTTATTTCGCTGCTAGCAGAAAGAAAAAACAGACTCATGAGTGTTGGAACATTTACTGTTACATGTGTTGTAAATTGTAGGTATATTGAAAGGAAGAATGAACACTGGCATGCGGCACCAATGGTGATAATGAAGGATGTGGAAGAGTTGAACAAAGTGAACATGTCAGTGTGGCTTACACACAAAATGAATTATCAGGACATTAAAGAAAGATGGAACAGGAGAGCGGAGTTGATTGAAGAGATGATCAAAGTGTTGAAGGAGCTTGATATTGAATACAGGCTTCTCCCCTTTGATGTCAATCTTACAAATCAACCTTCTCTGCTCTCCAATTGGAAAACTTGTGTCACCTCTCTCTCTTAGTCTCATTTTATTCAATGTTTAGTAGTCATTGATAAGAGTTTATCATTTCACTCTTCTATTGTGTTAAATGAATATAAAAATGTGTTAGTATTATTTATGTTGTGTTACTTTATATTACTCGTGTTTTTAAATGTGTCATTCTATTATTACTCGTGTGTTTTAGGATGTTTTTAGGATCATAAATTGATTTGTTTAGATAATATTTTAGTTAAAGTTGTAGTATAATATTTACTCCAAAAAAAATATATTCTTCATACATTTATATAAAACGCTTTTACCGTTATAATGTGTAAATTTACTTATATAGTACATATTAATATGAAATAAAAATGAAATCAAATTACGTAATACAATACTTTTAAAATAACATTAACTACGTTATGCATTGTCAGACCTCATTAAAACGTACCCAAATACTTCTGCACGGACTAAGGTCAAATTTTGCCTTTTTAATCTACTCTTATATTGCAAATCAGAACATTCTTCAATTTCAATAATGTTTTAAAATGATATTGTTGGTTGTTAAAAGTGATCTTTTGATTAAAAATGTTAAGTGTTAGAAATTAAGAAAGAATACGGGTGTATATATAATGTAGATGTATATGTTTTTTGTAATCGTGTGCTTTGTCTTGTCATGCTTGAATACTATAGGTGTTACGAATGGTTGTCAGTACCTACTAGGCTGCCAGTGGTGCTGGTGTTGCTGCAATGGAAGAGCTCGAGCTGCAAACTCGTGAGGTTTGGATTAAGCTTTGTCTGTGTAGTTTGTTAGCTTGGTTTGAGCTGTTCCTACCATTGAGATTGTGTGAAGAAGAAAGTGGTTTTATTCATGGTATTTAATTGTGATTTTCTTTTGGACTTTTTTACTGAAAGGTGTTGGAAGTAAAACCACCCACGTGTAATATATTTAATCGACAGGTTAGCACAATTCTAATATGTCTTTCTTGTGATTGATGCTTCCAGAATTACTTCTTGATGGAGTTGTTGTTTTGCAGTATGCTTTTAACTTATTCTCGCATAATGCATATGTTCTTTCAAATGAATATAACAAAGAAACGGAAATGGAAAGAAGAGGAAGTGAAACGGAAATGGGAAAGAAAGTAGAATCCGTGAGAGATGAGGGGCGTAGCTGTCTAGTAAAAATAAATGAGTAGAAATAGAATTTTTAAATTAATTAAAAAAATTTAAATAATAAAAGTGAAATGGTTTTAACCTGAGGATAAAATTAAAATTAAAACAATTTGGGGAGGTGGAGGAAGTATAGTGTGGTGGTGGAGGGAGCAACATTCCGAGCTAGATGGCAAACCGGCGGCCCGTTCTCAAATTCAAATCCAAAAGATAAATGGGCTAAATGACTTCAATTAAGTCCAAGCCCATTAGTGTTTACATTTTATGTCTTTTTTAAAAGACTGTTTCTTCCTGCACCCCATCAAACTTTTAAACTCTAAATTGTCTTTCATTAAAACAATTTTATAAAAAAAAAAAGTGTGAAATCATCTCTGCACCTCCATTTTCTAGTGTGAAATCATCTCGACTTTTATATAAGTTATGAGTCTTTTGAGGATGATTCATTGATGAGAGATAATACTAACGAAATATGATTCCAACTCAGATAAAAAATTTATATCATCCATAACAAAAACCTTAAAACAACAAATTTATAAGTTTTTTTATTATACTATGCTTATCTTTTTTCACATCTATGAAACATAAACTCATTTAAACTTCTTAACAAATAAAAATGAATTTTTATTTAAAAACAATGATAAGATAATCAAACTCACACATATTTTCTCTCACTCTTTTCTCATTCCTAATAAATAAAGTGCAAATATACATAGTAAAATTGACATTTCTTTTCTTCCAAAAATAAACTTACTGTCTTCACATGAGTGTGGGAAGTTTCAACCCTTTTAATCTAATGGTGTAGAAATTCCATTGGTAAACTTCTTTTCTTAGTCACTCATTTCTGTCTATTCCTTTTTGAATGTATATTTATGGCTTAAGATTTATTGAGTTGTAGAAAAATGTTGACTTCAAAATTAATTAAGGAGATCTTTGGACGTACAAGAATTGAATTTTGAGATGATAAATAAACTTTTATAATCTTATACTTTAGCATATTCTGTAGGATAAAAGAAAAATGAAGAAAAATATTTTGTTCTGGAGTTTAAATTAGATTTTTGGTAACATATTATCATATAAGATTAAAATTTTGACATGTGTATAATTATGAACCAACTTGTTAATTAGTTACAAGTTTTGTTATTAATTGGGTGAACTATTGTTTAAAATTTTAAGTAGGGTTTGATTTTGCTAATATCTGATGAATTAAATTTGGAATCTGTAACGTAAAAGAGTATATAAATTTTTAATTGTTATATTGTATTTTAAATTTCGTATCTAAGAATATTAAAGGTTTAAAAGTTAAAAGTTTAGGTTTTAAATTGGCCATAAGCAAATGTTCATAAATTAATCATTTTTGGAAAAGCATTCACGTGATATACTTTCTAAATGAAGCGTGTGCTTATTTATACTTATTATATCTAAGATTTTTGTTATTTATTTATTCATTTTTAAATTTTATTGAAATTTTATTCTTAATGTTTGTATTTTTCATATTTGTGTATATATATTTTTTCAATTTTTTATAATAATGACTAAATAAATATGTTTTGGATATATATACACACTTTAGTATTACCTATAATAGTGACTCTTAAATTTGATTAAAAAGTAATAGTTTTTATCCCAAAGACTAAAAATGAATTATCCTATTAAAATACAGTTAACAACCATAACATTTATATATTCTTTTATTTTTCTGTTTTATACTTGGAAGTGTGTGGATGTCCGTTTGATAATTGCAACTGGATTCGAAATGGTAGTAGGGAATCCTTGTATGTTTTTCGAATGAGTATCTCTTTAATTAATAACTTGGTATTAGCTTCTTCTTTTAGGTTAATATGAATATTGTAGTATTATTTAGAGCGGTCAAAATGGGTCATAACTGCGAATCAATCTGGTCTACCACGGGTTTGAGTCGGGTTGGGTTTAAAAAAATTGTACTTTTTTTATGCGAGTCAGATTTAAACTCGACTCATTTAAACCTAGTTCATGCGGGTTGAACCCGTGGTGGACCGGGTTGGCCCACCAATCCACATACCTAATTTTATTTTATTAAAATTTAATTTTAATTTTATAAAAAAATATTTATTATTTTGTTTTTGCTTGAAAAAAATTATTTAAGTTCTTTATTTTCAAAATTAATTAAACACCCAGGAGTGAAATTTGTTTAGATTTAAATTATAGAAAGTTTGTAATTTTTTTTATTTAAAAAAATTGTAATTAAGTGAGCCAACCCGTTTACCCACCAACCCGTGGTGGGTCAGGCCGGATGACCCGTTTTGACAACTCTATTATCTATCCCTTTAAATAATAATAAACGTAACAAAATATCTAATAAATATCATAACGATATATTTATACAAAATGTATTGTATAATCGTCCAATTAACATACTTCTATATTTACCGGTCAATCCTCCTAGAATAATAAATATTTTTCCAAACCTCCTCACCAGTCACACTTCTTCGACCGATCAGTCATCAAACAAGGGTCGACTGATCGGTAATTACATATTATCGCTATCATTATAAATCAAGTATGTTTACAAGATAGAACATGTTTATGAACTCTTGGGCTATAATTGAATTAATCCTAATTGAAAATGCATTTCAAAACTTATAAATACAAAGGTAAAGTAAGAAATATGTGATTACATTTATTGTGAAATTAATATTGTATTGTGATAATCAATCATATTCATTAATTGATTTGAACATCAAAGTTCCTTTAACATGTATATCACCGCTTGACTTGAGGATTAAATAAAGGAAATTGATAATAATGGATAGAGACTAAAAACGACTTAGAAAAACCGATAAAAAGTATATGAAAGAGTAATTCTTAATCCCTTAAAACAACGTAATTATAAAATCTTAAATAATTGGTCATATTAAAAGAGCGTAACAAGAATATTTGATTTTTCATTTGAAGAAAAATTGAACAAATATTTGTAATGTTATTTTTGTTTTAATATAAATCTTTTTCTTGAGAAAAAAAAACATGATAAAACAGTAATGTTATTTTCAATTATATTTAGTTTAAACAAAAAATATTTTTCATTTGAGAGAAAATAAAAGAAAGAGTAGGGACTTTATTTTTATTAAGCAAAAATCCTTCGTTTTAGTAAAAATCTTCCACAACATAACTTAGACAAATTTAAAAGATAGTTTAAAAAAAATATTTTAATAATATAATTTTTAAACATTGATTAATTTAAATTATGATTAAAAAGTTATCTTTCACTCGTTTTAAATAAATATGGATCTCGTAACCCAAAATATGTACATTTATGCTCATATTACATTCATAATCTATCCTAAAAAGGTTATAAAAAATTATTTTAATTATCTACATTATATCCGAAATTCTATTTAAGAAAACATTATAATTATCTTGCATAATCTCACTACAAAATCAACTTATTAATAACAATAATCAATTCATAATATTTTTAAATAATTTCCCTTTCTTGTAATGTGTATCTTAAAATGACATTTCCAAACTCTAAAATTAAAGCTATTAAAAATTTAGGAATTATAAAAAACAAAATATCTTGATATATCGAAGTTAATATAACAACTTTTTTAAACTATTGATGGCAAAAAAGAGAATAAAAAATCATTAAACTAAATTAAAAAGATTTGGTTGGATAAAAATATTTCTTAGTTCCATAATCATTGTAAAGTGGGATAAGATTATGAAAGAGTTATTATAAAAAAAAAATTAGAGAGAAAGAAGAAAAAACTACAAGAAAAAGTATATATATATATATATATACTGTCTCTT